AATGATGTAATGTATGGGGATTAACATAAGAATAAAAAATAAATAAATAAATAAATAAATAAATAAATAAATAAATAAATAAAAAAGAGGAGCTTGTGGGAGGAAAGCAAGAAGTGAAGAGGACACCGACAGCAGATGTTGAGGGAGTGACCTGAATCACAGCCTGCAGCAAGCTGTGAGCCGAGGGTGAAATCAGAGGTGTGCCCAAGAGGATGCATGCCATCTTCAAGTGACTTTCCCAGTCTTTATCCCTAGTTGACAAGGAAATATGAACCACTCAATATAAGGAGGAGGATTTTCAAAGCACTGATATTCGAGTTAGGCTGTGTAAAACATTAATAACATAAATGAGATGACACATCACTTAAGATAATTATGTCTAATGTCATGCACAAAGTTCTTTGTGAGTTAAATATAGCGACACAATCCCGGAGTGCAGCTAGCTGGGCAAAGCTTGGGGAAAACAAATGGGTTGTATCTTGCTTGTGGCCTGGGTGTCAGTTTAGGCTGAGTCTTCATGCCTTTGGAATTGGGGATTCGTGGTGCAGCTCTTTGATGAAACCCTGACCCCAGACCTCGTTAGCCAGCTGTTCCTGAGGCTGTGGAAGAGAGTTTGGAACTGGATGGAGACTTTGTGGCCTGAAGTGCTCCTCTTACCCAGCTGATGCCCAGCTGCCTTATTGCTCCTGGGACTTGGGCATGCTACCTTGAACTTTAGTGGAAAGCTTGTCTTCAGACAGGGGATATATCGGACTTGCAGGTGTTTGCCAATAGGCTGGGCTCCTGGTTGGCTCGATGATTGTAATCTAGGTGCTTACTTCTCCATTCTACCCTAGCCAACAGGCACGGCCAAGTTTCCAAGAGACGTGGCTCCTAGAACTGGAGAGGGCTTGTGAGGTCATCTGCCAGGTCCTCTCACTTTCTGCCTGTGACACAGTACAACCTACACTTTCGTATGTGGCACCTTAATGCCAGGTAAAGAGATTGACATTGACTTGCCCTAAGTGACACAGAATCAGGGTCAGTTCTGGGACCAGAACCTAAGTGCCGTGCTTTGAGGTGTACTGAAATTGTGGCATCTCTCCACATGATCACCAATGACAGGCCCTGCAGAGCTGAGTCATCAAGAAGATAGTCCTCTTTCCTTCCATGAGGAGTCTGGTCTTTGTGCCTTACTATGGTGGGCCTCATATCTGAAATGAAGCCAGCTATGCTCATACAGTACAAGGGACTCTCGACCCTAAGAGGCTATTAAGGAAAGGAAGTCCCATGCCTTCAAACAGATGCTTGCATATTTGGGGGATTGGAGCTGGAGATAACTTCATTCTGTGTGTCAAGGGCACCAGCCCTCTAAATAGTTGCTTTGTGAGGTTATAAGAGAAGGTCTATGTCCCGGGTCAAATGCTTTCCCTCTCCAACATTTGACATACCACTCTATCTTGCCCATTCTCCCCACATCACGCCCACCACCAGCCTGCTTCACCTCCCCTGCACCATTACAGCAGCCTGCCCTCAGGTTCTCCCTCCCACACTCCATCCAGTCCTTAAATACCAGCTTATTCTTCCTCACGTGCACCTTGCATAACACTTTCCTTCTCTCCTATTTCAAAACTTTTAGTGCATCTTATTTTTTCCAGAGTCCAGCCAGATGGGATTCCTCCCTCTGCCCATGCTCTTGCTTCTCCTTCTGGACCAGCTCTGAAGAACCTTTTCATTTCCCATTGCATGCTATCCTTCAAGACCAGTCCTGTTGAAGATGCTTCAAGAAAAAACCTTAAAAGGGTTTCTAGGTTGTAGACATCTAGGTTCTGGGTTTGAGGATTAATGAGATGGATAACACTTGGGGTTATGGAGAAAAGTTTGAGGCAAGAGGAAGACTGGACTGAGGGAGGTGTGAGAAGAAAAAAATGGGCAGGTGATGTTAGGGGCTGGAGCCAAAGGGCTGGAATACCCTGAACCTCAGTTACATCTAAAATACTTCTTAGAGGATGGCCCTTAGACCCCAAATTGCCAGTCATTGCTGCCATTTTCTGCCTCCCAGCTAAATGTGACCCCATGAGAAATAAGACCAAGTAGTTTATAGTTACATATATTTTTTTCTTTGAAAATTCCATAGTCATTAAATAACATTAATTTCAACCACACTACACAGCAGACATTTGACATACAGGAGTGCTGATTCATAAGAATACAGAAACGTTTCACTCTGATGATCCATGGAAGGACCTCACAATACTATAGACACATTGGAGGGAGAACAATGACATCCTGCCATGAACTTGACTGAGCTCACAGAAAGGAAAACATGCCACTGGATTCTGTGCATGTTTACAAACACTGTGAATGTTTACATTCACTAGGATTTATAGCAGATAAAGTCAAAACATTAATAACTTAAATATAATTAAATATTATTTGAGAAATGTGCCTTAAATTATTATACAAAGTGCCTCTTGTTGTACATTGTAATAAAATAAGATCGCTCTGCACTTGGGGAGAGTTGGGGGAAAATAAATAAGATTTTCCTCATGCTCTGTCTCTTGGTCCAGGTGCGAAGTTTCAAGGCTTCTGGGTTTGGGACTTTTGGTCCAGGTGCTTCATGTTATCCTGGACCCACTTCTGCTTGGGGTCAGCACAGATCTCCCTGGATGCTTTGGTCTTGAAGCTGTTGTGGGGAGAGAGGGCAGTTTGATGGAACCCCTTGGGGTGTCTGTTGGCTCCTATACCTGAGGGGGCCAACCCTCTTGCTCACTGGGTAAGGAGGCTGGATGGGGATAGGTGGGAGGGGAAAGATGGGAGGAAGGGCTCAAAAGGAAATTACTCGTGCTGTCCCAGGGGAGGCCCTCAGGCTGCTGGCTGAAGGAACTTGGATGATCTGACCAAGCTCCTAGAAGGGGAGTCTGGAGGGAGTATGACTATCCCTCCTGCAGGCTCAGTTTCTTCATGGGGTAAAGGTCCCTTTAGATTAGATGGTATATTTATCTGACTCCTTTGAGCATGAATCCTGATCTCTTTCCCTTGTATAGAACTCAGAACTTTTGGCAGGGGGTGCTAGAGCACAGTCCACTTACATCACAGCTTCCTGGGGACACTGGCTGTTGGTGACCCTCGTGTAGCTCTCCAGCTTCTGCATGGGGACCTTCCTCTTGACCATATTGAAGCAGCAGGTAATTGGGATGGAAACCGAACCTGAAAAACATTTTGCAAAGAATGAGAGTTATAAAGCATCATAAGCATGCATTTGCAAGCACAGGTAAAGGTAGGAAAAGACAAAGCAAACACACAATTTCCAACTAGGACCGAATACTCCCAAGTCCAGTGCCTTAGTCCACATTCCACAGATAAAATGGTGACTGGGAGTCCATTTCCTCTGTGGAACTATGGGGCTCTTCACTGTTGACTGGGAATGGAGAAATGACACCAATCTTATAGTGTCATTAGGAGGGTCTACTGACCCAAAACCTCTGACACCAAATAGATAAATTCTAAGACCTCGCTTTCCAGCTTTCTGTCCCCACAGGCTCTAAAGCCAACCCGTGTCACATACTGAGAAGACTCTGGGTCCTTTTCTTCCTTACATGGCCACTGGTACACTGGCTGTAATCCAAAATTTGAAACCCCAAGCAATAGTTTTTTTTCCCCCTCTGCTCTACTGCCTGAAATGTCCTTCGCATCCACAATGAGAAACAGTCCCCACATCCCCAAACAACGTGAGGGTCGTTGAGGTAAGTGGTTGCACTCAGTGTCTCTTCCCCAAGCTGGTGTCAGGAAGGACCATGGGGACTGGCCTTAGCGACCCAGGCATCTGGTTCTGCCTCTGGTTAACTACCATGACAGCTCTTCTCTTCGCCTTTGTTGGTTTCACTTTCTCCATCTCTGTAATGTAGGCTATGCAGCAAGCATGGGATGCTGGGATGATAGTAACAATAGTTTCAGTGGTAATCCTTAGGAAGAAAGGGCCCTACCTGGCTGGGAGAGCACCTGGGCACTGAAGGAGGCAGCTGTGAGCAGCAAGCACAGAAATGTTGCAGAGACCTTCATGTTGGCGGGGAACGGGGAGCTTGGGTTGTCAGAGCTGGAAGTTTCTGGGCTGGTCTCAGCCTCTCTGCTCCTCTGGTTCCTCTGGACACCCTGCCTGCCTTTTATAGGGAGCAGAGAGCATGGGCAGGTCCCTGAAATTGGACTTGGAATGTGCTGAGTAGGCATCAGATCCAGGGGGGTGATTTCCAAACACTGGAAGAAGGAAGCTGAATAGTTTCAACTGTTGGTTTAGACTATGTGGACCAGAGGTGGAAGGGAATGTGTTATGCCTAGCAAAATGTAGGAAGTGACCTCACTGGACTAATAAGGTCTATGATTTCTGTGAAATGGAAAATGATCTTTTGGAAAGGAAGAACAGAAGCTGAGGTCATAGTGGAGTGAAGACAATCAAAGGCCTTGCCCTCTCTGGGGCCTAGGAGGCCTAGGATGGGGCCTTAAGTCTTTGCCTATACTTTCTATCAGACTCAGGTCTCTGGCATCCTTAACTACTCAGGCTCTTTTAGAACCCCACACAGGTAGCCTGATGGAACCCTGGAAGAACGGTGGAATCCAGGAGAATCTTCAAGTCTTAATGCCCTGGAATCTTATGTTATGGAGAGTGAGAACTGGACAGCACATAGTGATCTTGTAGGGTGGTGGTTTCCAGATATTTTATTTAGAAGCTAAAGTTTCTTTCCAGGTGACATCGTATGGAGAAGCCTGATATTTCACGCAGATTTAGGTAGAATGGGTCTGTTTGAGAAAGGCCTTCAGTTCCCTTTGTTTACACACAGTGTGGGCAGGGGAGGGGAGGGAAGCGAAGGAGCTAGGCTTGCAAACCACTGACCTCTTGTGCTCTCCTCCCCTCACATGTCTGCCGTTACAGTATCACGCAGAAATTACACTGCCCTGAAGCTCCCCTGTGCTACTCCCCTCAAATCTTTTTACTACGATTGCTCTTCCAGAATGTCATGTAGTTGGAATCATACAGTATGTAGCCCTTTCAAATTGGCTGCTTTCACTTAGAAATATGCATTTAATGTTCTTTGTGTCTTTTCATGGTTTGGTAGCTCATTTCTTTTTACTGCTGAATAATATTCCATTGTATGTATATATCAGTTTGTTTATCCATTCATCTATTGAGGGACATCTTGATTGTTTCCAGTTTGGGGCAATTCTGAATAAAGCTGCTATAAATGGTTTTATGCAGCCTTTTGTGTTGACATAAATTTTTAACTCATTTGGGAGTGTGATTGTTAGATCATATGGTAAGACTTTATAAGAGGCTGCCAAAGGGTCTTTCAAAGTGCCTGTACCCTTGTGAATTCCCATCCACAGTGAACGAGAGTTCCTATTGTTCTACATCTTCAGCAGCATTTGCTATTTTCAGTATTTTGGATTTTAGCCACTCTACTGGGTGGATAGCGGTATCTTAGTGTTTTTTTTTTTTTTTAAAGGTTTTATTTATTTATTTGACACAGAGAGAGAGACAGCTAGAGAGGGAACACAAGCAGGGGGAGTGGGAGAGGGAGAAGCAGGCTTCCCCCTGAGCAGGGAGCCCTATGTGGGGCTCAGTCCCAGGACCCAGGGATCATGAACTGAGCCGAAGGCAGAGGCTTAACGACTGAGCCACCCAGGCGCCCTGGTATCTTAGTGTTTTAATTTGCAATTCCTTAATGACATAAGATGTTGAACATATTTTCATATGCTAATTTTTCATTTGCATATCTTCTTTGGGGAGATGCCCTAGTGAGATCATTCACCTATTTTTAAATCGGGTTATTTGTTTTCTCATTATTGAGTTTTAAGGGTTTTTTTTTCTTAAGATTTTATTTATTTGACAGAGAGAGACACAGTGAGAGAGGGAATACAAGCAGGGCGACCGGGAGAGGGAGAAGCAGGCTTCCCTCCGAGCAAGGAGCCCGATGCGGGGCTCGATCCCAGGACCTTGGGACCATGACCCGAGCCGAAGGCAGACGCTTAATGACTGAGCCACCCAGGTGCCCCAGTTTTAAGGGTTCTTTGTGTATTTTGGACACAAGTCCTTTAGTGGATATGTGTTTCACAAAGATTCTCTTCCAGTGTGTGGCCAAGTATATCTCTCTATTTATTTAGTTCTTTAATCTTTCATTAGAGTTTTGGTCTTCCACATGTTGATATTGAACATATTTTTCTTAGATTCATTCCTAAGTACTTCATTTTTTTGGTGCTTATATAAATAGTATCACATTATTAATTTCAAATTGCAATTGTTCATTGTTGGTATATAGAGAAGTAATTGAGTTTTAAATATTAACTTTGCAGCCTGAAACCTTGCTATAATTGCTTTTTAGTTGCAGGAGAGTTGTGTGTATGTGTGTGTGAGTGTGTGTTTGTGTGTGTGTATGTGATTCTTTTTCTACATGGACAATTATGTTTTCTACAAACAAAGGCAGTTTTATTTCTTTCTTCCCAATCTGTATATCTTTTTATTTCCTTGTCATGTCTTATCACATTAGCTAGGACTTCTAGTATGATGCTGAATAAGGGTGGCTAGAGGGAACATCCTTGCCTTGTTCCAAGTCTTAGAGGAAAAGCATTTTTTCATGATTAAGAACATCATTTCAGTGTTTAAGCATCATTAAGTGTGATGTTAGCTGTAGGCCTTTTGTAGATGTTCTTTATCGAGTTGTGGAAGTACCTCTCTATTACCTTGTTTGCTGAAAGTTTTTTCATGAATGGATGTTGGATTTTGTCAAATGCTTTCTATTGGTATCATCATAAGACTCTTTTTCTCCCTTAGTCTGTTGATGATATGGATTATATAAATTGATTTTCAAATATTGAAGCAGTCTTGTGTACTTGGAATAAATCCCACTTGGTTGTGTTGTATAATTCTTTTCACACATTATTGAATTCTATTTGCTAGTACTTTGTGGAGGACTTTTGCATCTATTTTCATGAAATTGGTCTGTAGTTTTCCATTGGTTCTTCCAGAATGGCAGCTTTTTTATCACTTTGGGGACAGTCTCCCTGCCAGGTATACCATGTAGCACTGAACCCTCTGGGGCTGTGTTGGCTAACAGTCAAGTTTGCATATATTTTTCATTTGCAAATAAAGTCACTGCCTTACAAAATACCCTCAAGACCTCATTGATTTCTCCTCTGAGCTGCCTTAATATGGAAAGTGCGTCAATGCATGGATGACAGAAAGAGTAGTGAAAATCATAGTTCTTGGGAATCAAAAAGGTTTAATAAAATGAAGGGAATTAAGTGTCATATCCCGAGTTTAATCCTGATTTATCCAATAACTAGCCAATGACTTGTTCAATGTGACCATGGACAAACTTTGACTTTGAGATTCATTGTCCTCATCTATAAAGTCTGGGGTTTTGACAAGTTCACGGATGGGAAATAGTTTTCAATAGTGTATTAGCTTGATAGATTTATGGTGGATAACCAGTAAGGTTTGTTGGAAAAACCAACCAACCAACCAACCAACCAACCAACCAACGAACAGCAAGGCTTTAATTTGGGTTACTGAATATAAAGTCATGATTGATTATTGAATAGTCTGCCATGGGTACAGCAATGGGAAGTGATACTTTCTATGTAACACAATTTCTATTCCTGGGTTAAATAATACTTAAGTTCTTCTGTAACTTAATTTGTCTATGATTATATGCAAAGGATCCAGTCAGAGACCAGGGAGGCTAGGATGACAGGAACTGGCAGGGCAGTGTTCTCAACTGTCAGTCTTAGGAGAGGCAGAGTAGCATGGTAGTTAAAATCTGGATATGGATACTAGGATCGCTAGCTAATATCTGTGTCAGAGAAGACTCAAGTAATCTAAGTTCTTTATAGTTTAAGTTCCTCACCTATTCTTTGTTTTTCTTATGTGGAAATCGAGATTACTGAGAATATTAAATCATCTGACACCAAAAACTTACTTTGCAGAGTGAATGACATATGGTAAGTGTTCAATAAGCTAGCTATTAGCAGTAGTCAAATAAGATGAGTGCCGTATCTAAAACAAGCTAGGAAGGGACTCCAAGTGTGGTTCTTGGTCTCTTGCACAAGTTCTCTCTAAAATTGCTTCCAAGCAAAGATATGTGGTAGGGACAGGCCTCCGGGAATGCCTGTGCTGTAGATGAAGAAAGAAAGGAGTCTCCCAGAAACAGAAAAGAAGTGGGGTTCTAGGATCTTGCCATGAACCCGAAGAAAGAAATGTTGTGGGGCCTCGGAGGAGATGGGGGTCAGATCCTAGGGTTGACATGCCAAAGGGCACCAGGGTCTTAATTCTACAGGGATTTCAGAGATCTTAGCAGATACGTCATGTTGATTATGCAATTTCCCTTTCTTGTTTTTCCTTTTTTTAAACTGAATTTGAGAAATCCCAACACAAAAAGTTAAAACGAAACTTTAGACCATGCAAAGTCAGCAACTGTTCTATCCAGCAGCTTGGCTGTGTGGTTCAAGGAAGTGGTCATTCTGCTTCTTCCCTTTCTTTTCTCCATGGTGCTTTCCCAGTGAGCATATTCTTAAAGCAGTTTTGGCAACCCACCTACAGCTCAGGGGCTGTGAAGGAGAGCTTCTCTACCTGTGACTAGCAGGCAGGAAATGAGCACCCTGCTATGGAAAGAGATCTGAATTCTTAGGTGGTTCTTGAGGGATGTGATGAGATGGGAGAGCATCCTGGGAATCAGAATTGCTGCCTCCATTTTCCAGCTCTGTTCCAAGTGTCCCCAGTGGTCACAAAATTATAGGATGCATTGGAAGAGACATTTGCATTGAATGTAGTCCACTTTTCCTCTTTACAACAAGAGAAAGGATTATAAAAGTGAAATGATTTGTCATGGGTTGTACAGCTATGTGACAAACCGAGACCGGTGAGTGCACATCTCTGAACGAAAGCCATTATGCAATACAAAGTTAGAAGACAAGGACCAGGCAGAAAACTGCAGACAGGTGCCCAGAAAGCCCAGGGACCATCTAATGTCCTGGTCCCCTGATCTCCCTTTAGTATCAGGATTCTCTGGGCAATTGTTAATAAGATATGCCTTAACAACTTTAATATAATGACTCAGAATCTTTGGAGATGAG